TTAATATCCTTTTTTTTTATTGTTTTACCTATCCAATTAAATATTTTCTGGTAACATATTGGATGTCTTTTAGGTATCCTGCAAGATATGAGGCTATGAGGAAGAAATATTGATGGTTTCATTCTGGAAAGGCCCAGCTGAAACACTCAGTCAAGGTCTTGGTAAAAAAGCCAAAGAGAGACAACACTAAGTTTATAATTTGACATGATGCAACTCTTTTTAAATAGGATATTAGCCTGTAGTGATCATTGTAAGTAGTTAAATTACTGCTATTTTGCAATTGGAGGAGACAACGTCAACAGAGACAAACACAGAAAGAGCATTGTGGAGAACAGAAATGGTGGAGCTCAGTGTAAAAAGAGGAAGATTTTGTTGTTGATGTGGATGCATGCAGCCTCTACAATGAGGAATGGAGTCTGAAATAACATAATTTCAGGTGTTATTTACTGCCATTTTTTGAATTGTCTGTAATGCAAAGTAGATGTTGTATTTTCAAATGTTGTTTTCTGTTGTAATTGTTTTTGTGACTGATTTTAGGTTTTAGATTTAGGTTTAGGCTACTATTTATGTTTTTTCTCGACCATTCAAATCATTCACCTGTAAGTGTTTCATGAGGGATATATTTTATAAATGTCCCCTGAAAAAAAAAATCTTTAAGCATTTCAGTTCATTCTTCTTGAAAGTCTTTTAGTCACACTTCTGTTCTGCTGAGTTGCTTTTCGCTGTGGATTTAAAGGACTGAATCACAATCATGTCAGGAACTGCTCTGCTTGGCTCCCTCCTTCACTATGTGAGCGAGTGTATGTGTTTGTGAGAGTGTATTAGTGAAAAGTGTATGTTTTCTATAAGCTGTCGGGGCCCCTTTCTCAGCCATTAGACAGAACAACATTTTCTAACACTGGAAGTGTATTATCTTCAATTCCAATGGTTTCTGCCTGTCATTATGTTGCTTTGAGGTGAATTGCTTGCCTTGCTGTCATACTTATTTGCTCTGTTCATACTTTCTGGAGGGGTTTTTAGGTCAATCCTGTTGTCAATGACTTGTCAGTAACCTCTTCTCCAGAAATTGTGTGTGCCACTTCAATATATTATTACAGCCACTTCAACAAATTCAACTACAGCAGAATAAAATGGACTTGACCACTGCATATATATAAACATGCTGTCCACTCATATAAAAAAATATTTTTTTGTGCTGTGAAGATTTGTTTGTTTGTGTGTGTGTGTGTGTGTGTGTGTGTGTGTGTGTGTGTGTGTGTGTGTGTGTGTGCGTGTGCGTGTGCGTGTGCGTGTGCTGTATAGGTCACCCAAAAAGTTGAAATTTGCTGAAAATGTATTCACCCTCAGGGTATCCAAGATGTAGATGAGTTTGTTACTTCATCGGAAGAGATTTGGAGAAATTTAGCATTACGTTGCTTGCTCACCAATGGATCCTCTGCAGTGAATGGGTGCCGTCAGAATGAGAGTCCAAACAGCTGATAAAAACATCACAATAATCCACAAGTAATCCATATGACTCCAGTCCATCAATTAAAGTCCTGTGAAGCAAAGAGCTGTGGGTTTGTAAGAAAGAAATTCATCATTAAGTCTTAAACTGTTGATTCTAGCCAAAATATGAGTCTATAATCCATAATAATGCCTCCTCCAGTGAAATGTTTTCCTCTCACACCAAAATTCACGAACATATTTTTTTTTCAGAACCGTTTTGGACCTTTTTTGCTTGATCTTTTCTTACTGATTCAGACGAAGCTACTTTTTTTGACATATTATGGATTTTAGCCAGAAGCAAAGGTTTAAACTGGAGTGGACTTTAGAGTCATATGGATTGCTTGTGGATTATTGTGATGTTTTTATCTGTTGTTTGAACTCTCATTCTGACAACAAATTCTGTCTTCATTTTTTTCCTCATTAAGTATCATGTTTAATGCAATAATATGTAAAATTATATGTCAAATGACTCATAAACAGCAACTCAGCAGCGAGATGATATATATAATGCAACACAGGTGTTTAGATGTATGTTGTGGTATTAAATCAGAAGGAATAATTCACGGAATATTCCTCAGAGGCATATAAACACGTCCAAAAGGATAAATAAATAAGTGACACTATCAACCCATTAGAGGTCATAAACACTGTAGCGTCTGCGTAGGATCATGCTGGAGTGTTGGACTGTTTATGGCTTAAAAGACCCTTTTAGCCTTTTGACATTTGCATATAAATTACAGTTCTGGTCAGAGATGTTACTTGTATAGGGGTTGTAAATTGCCAAATGGTTCTTCGCCGTCAAAAAGATTAGAACCAGCCCCCACGAGAATCCTGGAATCTTCTGATCAAAAACATTCCACAGAGAGCTGTGAATGGACAAACGAACACGCGCACACCCAAACTAAATGATTATATTGTCTGCTCGGTGGACGGACAGATCAAATAATTGTAATATTGATTCTGCTACAGTTAATTCGAAGATATAATCTAAATATTTATTATGAATCATAACCATTTATGATTCGTCATAAATATTCCCCTTTTTAGAGCTAATAAATAATAATAAACGTTACAACACCCCAGCACTGGAAAACGGCATAAGACATCAGAGGGAGCTGATGGTAGTGCATTAGTGAAAAATAAATCAACACAGTCATACTGAAAGTTACATATCACTAGGATATCTGATGTTCAAAGGTTTTCCAGCAGTTAGAGGAGCTGTGTTTAATTAATTTAATATGATTATAATATGAATGTGCTTAACCAAACTAAGATTAACCAATGCACAAATTAATTTAATCCTTCATAAACTCATAGACTTAATTAGTCATAGTGTGTGCCCATGGATTTCTGAGAATACAGCGTAAACGTGGTTATTTATTACCTGTTTTAATGCCAATCTATCATTTTACTGCTTCAAATTCAGTTTTCAGAACCTGTTCAACTATGAATTTTCAGCCAGTTTTCATATTTAATTATCTAATATTTTCCCAAATAAGAACTAAAATCTGTTTGTAAAAATCGTTTATAAAGTAGTCCGTTTTAAAAGTGTCTTATTTTTTTTATTTATTATTTATATTTTATTCAAATCAAAAATTGATTTAAATAAATGTCAGTAGAGAATTCATTCCTGACAATGTACTAGCTCTGGTGGGTAGGTAGTGCAATGATCTACCTTTTCTAAAGGGAAGAAAATGATAAAAAAACAAAAAGATATCCAAAATGATATTTCTAGCTGTCTGTTATTGCAACACAGCATAGAGCCTTAGGGGCAAAAGGTGTAGAGTGAATCATTGTCCTGACAACATCAGGATAAGGTGATAGAGCGACTGCTACTCACAATCAGGATGAAGCAAACACTGATTTATTGATTTCAAAATGTCAAAAACTAAGATTGGTAATATTGAGCTTGGAGTGCTTAAACTCTGTTCTGCACATGTGAGAAATAATCCCTTCAGATTCCCTGTAGTAGTTGTTTTGTTATCAAAATTTCTGACATTTAAATATTAAAACATGCACACAAATACGTACACTTTCATGAGAGAGATTTCAGGTCACTTGACATACACTGAATCTTCTCTATGTGCAAAATTAGCAGTCACATCAGACACAGACATGTTTGCCAACCTGAAGCACAACATGGTGTTGTGGAAACCTGACGTAAAATAACCTTAGGATAATCCATAAATTGATGACCAGTCTGTGTATCCTCAAGTATTGCCATTAACTAAGATAAAGCACTTTGTAAAGCTCATCAGAGGAAGAAGATAGATATTTAGAGCAAAATGGGTCAAAAGTTTGGAATCAATTTTTAATGTTTAAGTCTTTTCTACTCACCTATTCTGAATTTATTTAAAACAGTAATTCAGTCACATGATCCTTCTGTATTTTCATCTATCTATCTATCTATCTATCTATCTATCTATCTATCTATCTATCTATCTATCTATCTATCTATCTATCTATCTGTCTGTCTGTCTGTCTGTCTGTCTGTCTGTCTGTCTGTCTGTCTGTCTGTATAACCCCCTAACTTACAAACATTTCCATAAATATACATAATTTAAATGCAGACAAGGCATCCACACGATAATGCTTTTTTTTGTAGACATAGAGACGCAAATAAAATCTTTAGCTCTTCTGTGGACAGTCTTCAGCTATTTTTTTATGTATGTATATATTTATTTAGAACACTCTGCAAATATCTGAATATTAATGGTTGCCTCTGAGCATTGGATGTTCTCAGCTGGTTGATTGTGACCCTCAAATCAGTTCCATGTCTGCTCTGATATTGTTCACGGACAGCAAGAAAAAAAAAGAAGCAAATTCTAAAGTCAAAGGCAAATAAAGGAGGTGTGTAAATTTGACCTGCCACTTGGAAATATGGTTAATACTAATTCATTTTTAGTCCAGTGTTTGGCTGGTAAATCATAGACATTTACAAACAATTGTGCATATTGTTGGGTCTGTACTGTTCATGGTAAATTCAATGCATGTCAGTATTTATTTTAAATATTTTTTGTACAATAGACATTTTGGCACATGTCTGACATGCCTGATCTAAAAACTATGTCCTGCAACAAAAGTTGCCATTTGAAAACTACAACACATTATGTAATGAATTAGCCTACCTTAATAGGGGAAATGTGTTGCAAAATAAGAATGCTTTATCGAAGGAAATCATTATGCTGTTTTCCTCTTAGGGCTGTACAAAGACCAATAAATAGCCAGATGAAGCAGAGGCGTATGAGTCAACGTGGAAAATCACTGCACTTTAACGTCGCTCCATACGTTATTCATGAATGGGCCGCTGTTCTCATGGTGAATAATTCTGTGCTTGATTACTCTCCTCTGACAACGCACAAGAAAATATACCGATAAAGCCTGTGCCTTTTTAAATTCACATATACCAACAATTGTAATATCAAAATGCTTACACGAGCTCGTCAGATAGTTTGCATCCATTTAAGCAGAAAACAAAAGAGCTTTAATTTCTTGCTATCGCGGCAGGATGCTTAATCGATAACAGAACGCATCGCTTATGTTATCCTGCTCTGAGTAACGTTATCTGATGTGAAGCCGCTTTATCGCGGAACTCTTGATTAATGACATTGGATCATCGATAAACCGTGATCCTTGGACTACACAGAGGATTTAAACAGACACCCGTGATACTGCGCCATATTCCAGTAGTTAAGTTAGTTAGCATCTCTAGCTGCAGCTCTACACTCACGACGCTAACGTTACACGGCTAACTGACCTCAGAGAAATAACTGCTAACGTTAACCAAAATGCCGTTTTACTTTCTTTAACCGATAAACTGGATTCACCCGGATGCTTGCTGAACACAAACACGCTGGACTATTTAAACGGTCAGATATTGTTTTGACGCAGAAATTGTTTTGAGAAGAAGTTAGCCTGGTTAGCTTTGGGCAGGCGCTTGAGTTACTTCACATACAGCAGCTGTTTATACAGAAACGTTCGTATTTCAGCGTATAATTCAGTTGTCGTGTATGTTTGGTTACTAGTGCAGTGTTGTGTCAGTAAGTAGCAGGCCTGAGTCTCACGCGAGCTGTACGAGTGTGTGATAGATGAGCGTGAGATGCAGTGGTGGTGAGGAAGAGCTGGAGGATGATGCGGATGAGCTGGATGATCACAGTCATTAACAGAAGAATGATGAAGATCCTGATCGCCCTCGCTCTCATCGCCTACATCGCCTGTGAGTATATGACACTGACTGACACATTCTGCCTAGCTGTCTGTCCTTCTGCTGGACTTTGTTTCTACGAGAATGTCAAACTTGGTTTTAACTAATGCAGTTTAGTAACATCTCAAAAACTTATAGATTTTATTAATGGAAGGTTATGGAAATGTATTTTCTCTCTCCTCTCTCACAAAAGTACAGTACTGTCAGTAGTGTAGTTCTACTATGGTATCAGATGATAATACCGTGGTGCCCCACTGTATGTATTAGGGCTGGGTTTTGTGAAGTGAGGTGTGGCCAAGTATGGTGACCCATGCTAGGAATTAGTGCTCTGCATTCACCCATCCAAAGTGCACACACACAGCAGTGAACACACACAAACCGTGAACACACACCTGGAGCAGTGGGCAGCCATTTATGCTGCGGCGCCCGGGGAGCAGTTGGGGGTTCGGTGCCTTGCTCAAAGGCACCTCAGTCGTGTTATTGCAGGTGGGAGAGAGTGCTGTACATTCACTCCCCCCACCTACAATCCCTGCCGGTACGAGACTCGAACCCACAACCTTTGGGTTATGAGTCCGACTCTCTAACCATTAGGCCACGACTTCCCACATTTTGACACCAATTTCACGATTCGATTCTCATTCACAAGCATTCGATTCGATTACCGATTCGATTCAATATCGATTATTTTGGATACATATCAGGTACAGTACATGCCAAATTTTCTCAAGGAAAAAAAAAATCTCTCAACTAATGCTGTAAAATATACATGAGAGTCAGTTGGTACTATACATTACTATAATATTGAAGGCTAAAATGAACTGATTTGTTAATTTCACTTAATGAAGTTTTTAAAATAAAGTTACAATTACATAATAATATTTTTACTTCAATTAGTTTTTTTTGGAAATATAAACATAATGGTGGCTGTCATAAAATCTTGATGGATTTATTCAAACATTATTTAAACATTGAAGAACAGTAACATTTATAATGAATATGTTATATGGTGCATATATTAAGCAAAATGCCCCTCTCTACAGCTTATTTTTCTAGCTGACTAACGAGTTTATGGTCTCCAAATATGTTTTTCTGAGGTAAATGTGACGTTACATTAATTATTTACAAGACATTATATTGACATCTTTGCGCGGCTGAAACACAGATTGAGCGATTACATGAGACAGGATACAGATTGTAAAGTTGTACTCTTTCTTTTAACTTACCTTCGGATGTTTAGTCATGTTTATTTTGTGCTGAAACTGGTATTAATGTGGAGGAGATGATCAGTTCACGTGTGCCTCGCACTGCCGCGTCTGTTGAACTGATTTTTCACATATTTTACATTATTACAACACCTCTCTCCCCAGTCTGGCATGAACGGCTGGAATAGTTCCTGTATCAAATGAAGGCCCGCCTTCTGAAATACGAAACGTGCTGTGATTGGTTAGCTGGGCCAGTGTGTGCTGTGATTGGCAGCACTCGGCGCCTGGTCGGGAAATGTCATGCCCCTTACCATAGCTGCCTGCGAGCTTCAGTGTAAATATTGCTTCAAAATCAAATCAATTTGAGTGCGATTTAAACCCGGATGATTGTAATCGCTCTAAGTTCGTCTGCCTTGGGAAAGCTAGCGTGTCTCCGACATAGTGATAACACTCGTTGCCTTCTCTAGTGCAGCTCAACAAGGTCTCGTCCCAGTCGTCGATATTTGTGATATCACAAATCTCGGAAAATATGCGTTGTAGTCCAAACGAGTCGTTCGTTGTAGTTTTTGAAAAGTGATTTCTGTTAAATAAAATATCTCCTTTTGAATTGGACTTTGAGCTTTGTAACTTTGCAGATCTTTTTTATGCTCTAACAGCAACATTACAGACTAACTAAAGTTGAAAAAGTGAAAAAGCATAATAGCACCCCTTTAACTGAAAACAGGCTAGACCAGTGGTTTTATTGTGGATGGTATTGCAGGGGGACCGCCAATTACTATTAAAATAAAAAATAATATTGTTAATATATGTAAACATTTCTAAGTCATAACATAATATCTTAATTTCATATACATAATTAAATTTAAAAAAAATATTAAACTGTTACTTTGCTTCCATTATTCCACTATTCGAGCTCGCTGATTGGTTTAAGAATAAACCGCCAATTCTAAAATATTTTTGCTGCATATGCTACAGAACAACAGATTCAAACATGGATAAATGGCTGTCAACAGGGTCACTGAAAAGAACAAATGCAGATGTTTCTCCATCTACAAGTAAGCCTGACACTGAAAAGACTCAAAATAAATCTAAAAGAAAATGTGTGGGAGCGGAGAACAAGCAGCTACCGCTCTGCGTTGTTTGCTCAGAAGTCTTATCAAATGAAGCTTTGAAACCGAGCAAACTACAACGACACTCGGAGACTAAACACAGTGAATATGTGTCCAATTGAATTTTTTGAGAACAAACTGAAAAAAACTATAGAAACTGTGTTCTCTGACAACGACAACATTAAAGCAGTGGAGGCATCTTATCGTGTAGCAAAGCTCATCGCAAAGGATGGAAAACCTAACACAATTGGTGAAAATTTGATTTTACCTGCCACGAAAGAAATGGTTGGCGTGATGTGTGGAGAAAAGGCCCGCAAGCAGTTAAATCTGATTTCACTTTCAGATAATACAGTTGAGAGAAGAATAAATGAAATGGCATAACTCAGAAGTTGGTTAAAAACATTCAATAGAGTCCCTTTTATGCCCTACAGTTGGATGAATCGACCGATAAAGCAAACCTTTCCAACCTCATTGCTCATGTGCGGGTATGTACATAACGGAGAATTACAAGAGGATTTCCTTTTCTGTAAGTCGCTGCCGAATCAATCAACTGCCGAAGTTAACTTTTTTCAGTGGGCCGCGGAAACATATGTGTTTGGTTGTGTGGGCCGTGAGTTGAAAAAGGTTGGGAACCACTGGGCTAGACTAATCGATTAGTGGGATTTAAGAGTCGCTATCGTTCCATAAAAATGAGAATCGATTAATATCGAGATATCAATATTTTTTACCCAGCCCTAGTATGTATTTACCATGGTGTTTTCATGTCACTTCAAAGTATACCACGGTACATGTCCAAAGTATCATGGTTTCTAAAGGTACATGCCCAAAGACCCATGGTTCTATCCTAAAATACCATGGTAGTACCATGCAGGGTTTCTACAGTCACAGAAAAACTAAGAAATATCAGGACATTTTTGTCATCTTCAGGCCATTAGAATTCATGGAATAATTAGCGTCCCTCTTTCATGAATGTTAATGTTCGAAAATTTTTGTTAAAATTATTTATTAAATTTATTTGAAAATGGCCTTTTGTGAGTGTTGTCTATGTCCATTGTTATTTTGGTATAATTAAGATACTATTATAGTTTTATTATTTTGAATTATTTTATTTTTATATTTTAAGTTTTTTTTTATTACATTTTAGTTAGTTTTATTAATTTTGCATATTTATAATGTTAATTATTAAAGTAAATTAATACCATTTTATTGATTTTAAACTGGAATAATCATTCAAATTAATTGGTCAAAAAATGTGAGAATCTGACCATGGCACTTTTGTGTTTTTTCTCTCTCTCTCTCTCTCTCTCTCTCTCTCTCTCTCTCTCTCTGTTTGACCCCCTGTGTCTGTGTTGGTAAATGTGCTGGCCAGGGGAAGTTTATAACATTTTAGCAGCTGTTACTGTTTTGGCAGTGTCATAATTACATGTTACTTGATTGTGCAACAGGCTTTACATAAGTGATATATCTGCAGCTGCTTTATGTTTGATATTCAAAATGTGACCCATTTACAGCTCATTCCTATTCTTTATCATTGAGGACATTGAACCCACTGTCTCTCTCTCTCTCTCTCTCTCTCTCTCTCTCTCTCTCTCTCTCTGTTTGACCCCCTGTGTCTGTGTTGGTAAATGTGCTGGCCAGGGGAAGTTTATAACATTTTAGCAGCTGTTACTGTTTTGGCAGTGTCATAATTACATGTTACTTGATTGTGCAACAGGCTTTACATAAGTGATATATCTGCAGCTGCTTTATGTTTGATATTCAAAATGTGACCCATTTACAGCTCATTCCTATTCTTTATCATTGAGGACATTGAACCCACTGAACCCATTTAGTCAAGCCCTTTAATTATATCTAAACTGTTTAGTTAATGTGTGTGCTGTTGTGTGCATCTCTCTAGCTCCCTGAGAGTGAGAGAGTGCTGCTGTTAACCTATTTTTGGAACTGTAATGTGAAATGGTCAACTTTGTGTTGTGACAGCTAGGCATGGGCCGGTATGAGATTTTGACGGTATGATAACCTTAAGCAAAAATATCACGGTTTCACGGTATTGTCGTTACAGCTCTAAAATGTGTTATCTGAATGAGATGCAGATTCACTCTCTGACAGCAGGAGGCGCTTCTGGTACAGCACATGCAGCGTTTCATTGGTTACAGCTGTAAACAAAGCAGCACTGCGCTGAAACACTGCTTTAATATGAATTATACAGAAACGAGATTAAAAGAAAATATCACGTAAACTTTTCTGAAGACAGAAACACATTCATATAAACCCCCAAATCAATATTGGAGGATTTTTTCCCAATAGTACATCATGAACATTGAGTGATCTGCCTGCTACAGTATTTTTCTCTTTTGCATCCGTCTTCAGCGTCTCTGGCCTGTGGCCTTCAGATTTTCACATAAATTACATTTTGGAAAACGATTGCATTGCAACGCAGTTTGTGCAAGTCCAAAACAGAGACGAGTTGCTTGCAATAAGACAAAAAATGACCCGGTTGCCGATCGCATAGGTTCCAGGGGAAGCCATCCTACACACACGTGACTGACAGCTCGCTCGCACCAACAGCTGGAGGAGGGGTCGTGTCAGTGTTGCCAGATTGGAAATGTCTAAGTATCGTACCAGAAGCTCAAAATTATCGTACACTAGTCAAATGTATAGAATACAGCTATTTATCTAAACCAGCAACCTTTTGACATGACCT